TTCTTGGGCTTTTCTTTTTGGTAGCGAATTCACAAACAAAACGGTGTTTCGATTTTTCCGTAAAAAAAAGGCTGTTTCTGCAGATTAATCAACCTGCAAAAAAAAAAAAAAAAAAACCTTGTTCTTTGCTTAAACATAACAAAAGAGTGGTAAGAATACGTTTGCGCCACATCGAGAAATATCAAACCCTCGGTGAAACCGATAACTTTCCTTTCACAGATATATTTTGGGGGTACTCGCCGAGAAGCGACAAAGTTCTTATTCATGGAACTGGAAGGCCTTGTGACTATGATATAGTAAGGGGTAAAGCGCTACGTGAGGACAAGGCGTCAAACACCGTTTATTCCGAAAAAATGGAATGAGCTACTTCCAAACTTAAGACCTCCATCCGTGGCAGTTAAAAAAGCGAGGGGTAGATTCAAATATCATATCAAATGAAGAGACTCCTCGAACGAGTAAGACATAAGAAGATATGGTCGCGGTGATACTCGCAATAAAGCAGAAAATTAATATCAGGAGATTATTGAGGAGCTTGCATGCACTCTTCTGGCATCCTGATGAGTTCCTTACTCGTTTTTGACAAAAAATATGCGAAGAGGATCGCCCGCAAATAACTCATGGGATTCTCATTATATCTGAACAGCTCAAGTCAGTCCTATAAGGGGAACGACATGAATTACTGTTGAATTGTTGTTGGGTTCAAATGTCATCAGAATCCCGACATCGTGCGGTATTGAACAAAACGAAATCTTTGGTCGAGTTCTTTTAGGTTTGCAAGTAGTTTCTTTATTGGTTATCACATTCTTCACCAATTCAAACATTTGTCAACTTTGGAGAATATTACTACGTTATGTTTTCCTAATATTTGTATTAACTCTCCCTTAAAAGCTTATTTCGATTACATTACAAAGCCATTTGTTGAAATGAATAACATTTTCAGTATAGGAGCTTGTTATTGTCCTTGTTCTGTTAGAAAAATTGTCGCTACCTAAGTTTAAATAACGCTACTTGAGTAATACATAAACAGGGTAAGAATTAGGAGAGCCGAAGTACTCAATTTATGCAACACTTAGGGATGTAAGCGTCTTGTGGGCTGTTTCGACTTTTTGTGAAATGAGTAGCCTAAGGATTAGACAAGAATCCAGCGCTAAACAAAGTATATCACCAGAAGGACAGCGTTTACAGCGAGAGCAAGTCGACGAAACCGTATCTTGCGTGACAAATACTGAGTAAACAGGTGGCTTCAATCATTGCATAATCACTCCTAATTTATGCATCGTGCTCTTTCGGCACGGTAACTCCATATGTAAATTTCCCTTAGTCACGTGACGTTTGAGGAAGTTAAACGAATTGCTTGAATTAAGGAGTGTCTATATCGAGCTCAGTGGTTAGATATTGTCTGCAATCTGTGTTAGATTTTTGTTAATTCGCTGGAGTTGTTGGTTACTTTACTGAGAGGTAAGAATTATATTAAATATAGATAAGAATTTAGTTCACATTATAGTGTAGCCTCGCCAGACTGCACGTACTAAAACCCGAAACAGCGAAACGAAACCACCGAAACGAGCGAAACTACCGAAACGAAACCACCGTAACGAGCGAAACTACCGAAACGAAACCACCGTAACGACCGAAACGAAACCACCACAATAACCAAAACGAAACCACCGTACCGACCAAAACAAACCACTACAACATGGCAATCGAGAGAACGATCCTCCCGTGAGTTAGATCAGGATTAGACCATAATCGAAACGAGACGAATGGGTTTCATTTTTATTATCATTGCTGTCAAAGCAAACTTTATTGTGACGTAGAAATCTACATACTAGCCACCTGTACTACATGATAAGCTGATAGCTTCGTGTTATTCCTTGAAGTTTCTTTCAATAACTTAGTATACTTTATTTAAATACTTTATTTGAAAAGTATTTATGTCTATAACCTTTAGATCTCTGGTTAAATTCCGGTCTAGCTGTCCTTTCAATGATGAAATTTCAAAGTTCACTGATTTATCAGTTTATAACCTTTGGATTTTATCGATGATTCGCTTTATAGATTTCACGGATATATATGTTTGTATTAATGTTTGAATTTATTTATTATGTATCAGTCATATGGTGGGTAGAACTTGATTTTGATGTGGGGCTAAGTTACTGGGTCGAAAATGAAATGGGGTGAAACTGGCGGATACCAATTCATGTGCGATCAATTTTTGAGATTATTCGTGATATGTGAAAAGGCCGAATATTTTTATTTGACTGAGTTTTAGAGAGGGGTATAAGGGAACCTCTGACAATGAAAAGATAGAATTTAAATTCTTAGAAACCTTCGAGCTCAGTTCTTTGTGATTCATTATTAATCTTTCTCGATAGGATATATAAGTAACCACATCATACTTGTAATGTGCATTTCAAGCCAAAAATTTTAATTCCAGTATTTGGCCAGTTGTCTCTTGTTTGCAAAAAGAAGAAAAACTTTCCCTTCCATATTCAATAATTTTGAAGCTTAGCTTCAGATATTGCATTTTATCATGTCAACTTCACACACTACTGTATATTGATTGAATGCTCTTGACCAATCAGCTTTTTCATAGCAAGTCCTATGTAGAAAAATCAAAATTATTGAATATGGAAAGGAAAGTTTTTCTTTGCTGCATTTATCAAGATTATCATTTAGAGATCAATGTCTGCCTGCCTATTCTAAAACTTTTGAAAACTCAGAGAAGCTCGAAATAGCTGAATGCCTCTAGAATATGTATAATAAAACAATTATTGAATTCAGTTTTTGATATCATATCAACCTCGTTCAAAAATTGCTTATTACCCTGGTGTCAAGACCATGGATAGACCCTGGTCAATCATGGCTCTGCCATGGTTGTTCACAGGACTTCCTGTTTTCCAATTCTGTTTGTAATAATACTCTTGATTAACAAATCAGACAACTGTTATCAATTAATCAAAACTATGACAAAATTTGAGAAAGAAACTAGACATCAGTTATATGTTTTCATAAAAAAACAACAACAACAACAGAGACAACAACACACACATGTTCTGTCCCCTTCCATAGGAATTACATGATAATTGTCCCTTTAACTGTCCTATTACACAGTCCAATTACAAGCATGACACACACTGTACTATAGGTGCTCAAATTGGGCTGGAGATAACCAATCATGTTGAAGAATTTTGTTATAGTTTTGATTAACAGATGAAAAGTTATATTTTCAGATGAAAGTTTTTCCTCCTCAACATTTTTTAATTCTGATATTTGCAAATTATAAAGGTCCTGCAAAAGAAGTAAGGATTTTTCTTTTTTGCACTGAGATGGGGTAGCCAATATTAAAGATCCATGGTTTCAAAATTGTTGGGTTTTTTTTTTGCAAGTCAACCCTGAGTTTTTTTTAACCATTACTTATTCATTTGAAAAAGCAACAAATACATTCAGTACATATTTTGGGACATGAATTATTTTTTTCTTAGGTAAACACTTTCATTCCCTTGACCCTTTCACTCCCAAGATCTCTTCAGTAATTCTCCTTACTGTTTGCCAAACCATTCTTATCATGTAAGTTTGGAGAATTTGGTATTGGATCAAATAATGATCCTCTAACTGATATTTTCCTTTGTTCATATCTCTTATCTGCTTGATGTTGTGTTGATATTTTGTAAGGAGAATTCCTGTATTGTTCACTCATGCAAGGTGAAGGGTTAAATAAATATGTTATATATGAGTTTTGATGTTGGTTAATGACTGCAGTTGTAAAATTTTTAACTTGAAGTCATTTTGCTGAAAATTAAATATTTAAGAAGCCAGGCACAATTTGTAAAGTTTTTGAGACAGTCCTTGATAGATTTGCCAATTAATGACGGATCTTAATTTATTTTACACTCAACTCTCTGCTGATGGACACTAGCTCTCATAGGTGGCTAGTTCTAATTACAGATACTTTTTTCAATTTCCCATTTTGCTGCCTAGCACCAATAGTGTTCTTTATCACTATCCTCTGTTCATTGACGTATACTTTTTCTTTTCACATTCCCTTCTTTGTTAAGCTTTTATTGATAAACATGAATAAGAAATTATGACCAGTTTTCTTTACTCTGTAATTTTGTTTATTTCATCAACATTCATTACATGACTTCATGAACATAGCAACTATGGGTGACTTGGATGATGTTTCATGCAAAACATCTCTTCAATTGAAAATTGTAGTCTTAAAGACATCATGCTGCTAGACAAACTCTGTAAAAAAAACAAACTAAACAAAGAGCTCTCATTTTGATTATTTTTGTAGCTAAACAGTAAATATGTCAATGGGAAGGAATAATCCGATCAGTCTCTTTAAAATAACGAGGACCATATTCTGATGAATTCAATCCGAGTGAGTAAAAATAGCTTACAGAGGATAAAATCAAATAACAGGTCTGAAAAGTAGCAACATGCTCTGAATATCTACACCTTAGAAATCATTCATGTTTTGGTTTATTTACAACAGTCTTAGGTTATCACATCAAAACAAAACCAACCATAGATTTGCACTAATGATATCTTTCCTGTTGGACATTAATTTTGAAATGAGAGTAGTTCGTATATTTTTGCAAAAGCAGCTTGGAGAACTCAGTGTACTTAAATTCAAATATCTTTCTTGTTCATAATTGCCTTTTTGTTAACATGTATAACTCAAGCAATTGTTTATGAACACAAAAAAATTATACAAAGAGATTTAAGCTGAAATGTTTCTGATGAAAATAAATAACTCAAGAGCCTTTACACATAAGCATCCCTTACTCAAAATGTTTAAAAGAACTCTGAAGAGTGGATAGCTTCCAAAGATAACGAACTACGAGAATAAATCATTGCCTTGGTTCTATAAGTAGATGTTAAGTTACAAACCTCATTTTTGCCATTTTTGGTTCAATGGTTATTATAAATTCCACAAGAAAGTTAGTTCAAGTAACTTATCTTTAATGACAGCTTGTTTTTTTTTTTTTGTTCTGATAGTTTCATTACTAAGACATGGATTCCCATATTTCTAAAGAAAAGCTGAGAAGAAAAATTGTAACAACTTACGGAAGAAAGGAATTAAATCTGACAGCGTGGTATTTGCTTGAGTTGCCTGAAGCGGTGCTTGAGTTAACTGAGTTGGACGAACTTGACCTGTCAAGGAATAAACTTAAAACAATACCTGAAAATGTTGGAAAACTAAATAATATTACAGTGCTTCGTGTAAGTAGAAACCAGCTGTCCATATTCCCTGCAAGTTTGAAACAGCTGAAGAAACTCAAATGGCTGAACATCTCACATAACAAACTAACTACCATCCCTGATGCTATTGGTGAGATGGTGGCACTGGAGAGACTGGGTCTGAGTTACAACCAGTTGACTGTGTTGAGTCCAGCAATCAAACAGCTGAAGAAACTCAAATGGCTGCACATCTCACATAACAACCTAACCACCATCCCTGATGCTATTGGTGAGATGGTGGGGCTGCAGGGACTGTATCTGAGTTACAACCAGTTGACTGTGTTGAGTCCAGCTATAACACAGCTGAAGAAACTCAAATGGCTGGACATCTCACATAACAAATTAACTACCATCCCTGATGCTATTGGTGAGATGGTGGGGCTGCAGGGACTGTATCTGAGTTACAACCAGTTGACTATGTTAAATCCAACCATGAAACGGCTGAAGAAACTCAAATCGTTGTTTGTGAATGGGAATCCTTTTACAGTTCAAGGAATGAGAAGTGTTATGGAGCTAGAAGATAGAAGAATAATGGACCGAGTATATTCACATCTCCAAGGTGAGTAAAGGAAATTTCAGTTCACATTATTGTTGTGACATGTGCATTTACCAAACTGGTTCTAATCATTGAATTGCAAGTGGTTATTCTGCTTGTTACTGATTATTACAGGTAGCTGGCGATAGTTAAACTGCAAATACTGTCACATTTATTGTAATGAGTATGGTTTAACAAAGTTGGCATCACTTGAGAAATACATGACATTTGTATTAAAAGTTTTTGTTCTATATTGAAAAGCTTTATTTTAACAATTTGGCTGACATTGAAATTTAAGTTCATCAATAAGGAAATATGATTCGATGTGGAATCAAGAGAGTAAATGTTATTACAAATCATTCTATACAGCTAGGAATGATAATTGTTTTCAGTTTTGCTTTCTATTTGACTGGAATTACAAAAGGATAAAATGTAACTCAGGTCATTTCACTGTTAGGAATTGTTGTTTTATTTTTGCTTTCTATTTGATTCATTGAAAGTGTTTAAAAATTGAATAACTTGTAGCTTATCAAACAAAATTTATAAACTAATACGATTTGTGAATTAAGTTACAGGAATAGAGCTTGGATTTGTTTTTAGTGTGACTGAATTCTGATTATTGTTTCCACATAATTTACACTGGCGTTGGCAGTGTAATCTTTTTTTAAACTTACAGTTGTTAGCTTTTGGATATATGCACTTTTTCTTTTTCTTTTACAAACAATGAATTGGTTATTGACTCCTCACTGCTTGGCAGAATTGATTTAAGTCATTGCCTCTCTCTTGTGTGATCAGTCACCAGTGGTTCTAATTCTTAATGTTAGAAAACATTGAGTCAGTTTAGTGTGGGTGTGCATGTTCACCAAACTCATCACTACATTTTATGCCAGAAGAATTATTTTGATTGACTATGTAACCTTTATGTAAGAGTGGAATAAATGCATTAAGATCAGAAAAAATAAACAATTTTGATAGTTAAGTTTTTATATACCAGCCTTCAACACCAACATTATTCATGTTAGGCATTTACATTTATCAACCTTTACTCTTGCTCTTTTTTCAATCATTTTTTACAAATTTATCAATGTGCAAACCCATTTTTTTTTGTGTTGTGAAAACTTTTTCTAATTAGGCCCAATGAGAGAGAGACTTAAAGCACAACTGGCTTATGAAAGGGCTTTGCAAGATGGATATGTCATGGTTTACCGCGGCAGAATATTACTCATTGGCCAGGATCGAGCTGGTAAAACCAGTTTAAAGAAGAGTCTCCTTGGCCTTCCATTTGACTCTGAAGAACAAAGCACTGAGGGGATTGAAGTGGATCCTTCAAAGTGTGAAATTGATGTTGACCAAGCTGCAAGGAACTGGCAGTCCATTGGTGAGAATAAACCAGGACTGTTGGAATGTTCTAAATATGTGGCAAAGATTGTTGCAGAGGAGCTTTTTACACAAGAAGATGATCATGCTATAAAAATGTCTATGCAGCAAGAGAAGCTAAGACAAAAATACACAGATAAAAGTTCAAGAGAAGATTTTGAAAAAGATTTAGCCCACATATCACCTGCAGATTTTGAAGAGGGATCTTTAGATAGTTACAAACATGGTAGAAAAAAGGTAAGGTTGGAATTTTAAAAATGTTCTTCACATACATGTTTAAGGTAGCTTTTTATTGTTTTATGTCAAATGAAGATTATGTGAACATTAAAGCAAAGCAAAAATTAAAATCGTTCAATTTTTTTGATTTTTTTTACTTTGCAATGGTCTTAGCCAAAAAACAGAGAACTGCTTGAAGTCTAAATAATAATTTCCCTCCAAGTGCATGCGCTGCCATTTTATCTAATTTACATCAGACTTTGACACAATAATTTCAGATGTGTAATGACTTTGCTGGCAAGACTGCATCAGTGTCATACTGAGAGTAAATAATTTCCCCTCATTTGATACTTTACTCAGGTTGAGGATAAAGGAGATCACCCATCAGTAGATGCTATGCACAACATTAGCATTGAACACTCAATGGACTGCATTTTAGATGAGCCTGAGGTAATTATTGATGTTGCTCAACCCCCTGATACTGAGAAGCATGTTCATCAGTGGTTGAAGCATCTCCAAGGCAAAGACATTGAAAGTGATTTATTCAAAGAGGAATCCTATTTTACAATGGGCATTTGGGACTTTGCAGGGCAGCACCTGTACTATGCCAGCCATCCTATCTTCTTATCACAGCGTGCACTGTACATATTGGTGCACAATCTCAGCAAGCCTTTGGATGCTGCAGCTGAGCCCTGCATGAGACAAGGGAGTAATGATGTGAAATTGGAAAACCCTAACAATGAAACAAACATGGAGAATTTGCTGTCATGGCTGGCTACAGTACACTGTGTTGCCTTGGCAACTGATGACCCAGATGATGATGCACAACATAAGCTGCCCTACCTCCGCCCCCCAGTGTTTATTGTTGGAACACATGCTGACAAACCAGTTGAAGACATAGAGGTAATAAAGAAACAAATACAGGAGAGAATTTCTGGTATGGAATATGAGAAGCATGTGGTCAGACCCTTATTCTGCATTGATAACACTCAGGGACAAAACTTGATTGACAATAGTCAGGGACAAAGCTTGATTAAGAAATTTATCCAGAAGATTCGAAAGCAGAGAGAGAAACAAAAAACAGGTAAGATATCTCATGTCATACTGTATCCTTTACAATTTGTTACTTGCAGTAATTTATGGTTTTGTAATTGTTTACTAGCTTGTCTTTAGGTCAATTCCGAGAACAGTTAATTTGTGGTCATTTTCTTTTAATCAAAGGCCCATTTGGGAGACGGTTGGCAAGCATTGAACATACTATAATTTTTATCTGACTCACATTTACATGTCATTCAGCAGTTCTGCCGTCTGTCATTATAATTTTAAAAAGTTGGTAGACATGTAGAATGTCTCTTTAAGTGGGATTGGTAAGTGAAGGATACCGCTCTGCTTGAATGAGTTCAGGCTAATAGTGGAAGTTAGGTAGGAGTTGGTTTTTTTTCCATTACCTGCACTCTTCTTAGCTTTCAGCTACTTTATGTACCAGCATCACTATTAATACTATATAAGGAACAGAAGATGATTTTGGGAGTTGGAGAATTATCATCTTAGCTATGTTGTCACCTATAAAATATCTGTAATCACACATGTGTGATACAAACTATTCTCATTGTGAGCACATGTGTCTGTGTTACATTATGCTTTGAATTCATTTTCTAAACATATCCAGCCAAGGAAGAAGGAAAAGCAGATGGAATAGGTGAATTGCAGAACAGAATCCTGGAGGTGTTAAGGCAGGAGCCTTATATGGGAGAGAAAATACCTGTAAGGTAAACCAATATAACCTTTTTATCTGGCAACCTCATTTTATAAAGTTTGGGATCAATGTTCCATTTAAACCATCATGAATAGTACTTTGAAGAGCAGTGAGTGTTTTGAGTGTAACTGTATATGCATGTAAATGTATATGAACACAAAAATATCTCACCTCCACAAATTTGAAGATCATCAACACTCTTAAAACATCAGACTGTACAGATACACAGCAGTGATTTAAAAGCAAACAAAACTCTACTTCATGACATTGTGACAATAGTGTCTTTAAAAATGTGTGAATGTCTCATGGATATTTGAGAAGGCACAGCTCTTTCAATTGAGATTTTTTATTGAAAAACATAACCATTTTGATTTTTCCTAAAGTTTGGAGATAGCTAGACCAATAAAATTGATGAATTTACACTGGAAGACTACAAATAAATAGATGTCTGACTAAAGTTAATAAAACAATTTTAAACCCTAATTCATTTTAAGTATCCTGTTGCCTTCTAGATGGTTTTTGTTTGAAAAGGTGATTGAAGCTTTGGTGGCTAAACAGATTTATCACAGAAATCTGCAACAACTTGAGCACTATGCAAAGAAAGATTGTTTCATAGAAGATGCAAAAGAGTTTGAGTCCATGATCAGTTTTTACCATGGTCTGGGGATGATAATAAAGCACTGCAGTACAGTTGTGCTGAAGGCTCAGTGGTTGATTGATCTGTTCAAACAGCTGATAACCATTCCACCTTTCAATAAACAGGTAGGAAAAAAATATCATTTTTGAAAGGACCTAACTTAGAAAATGTTTAATAATCTAGACCAACAGAAAATGAGAGTGATACTTTTTTATTAATGAATCAGCAACTAATGCAGCAGCTGTAACTCTGATCTCTACAATTGTTGGACCTCAAGTTATTTCATGTACCTTTTGCAGCTTTTCAGTTCATAAACTGATTCAGCCTTTTTACTTTACAAGAGACTTGCATTAACTTGCCACCACTAACAATAATTGTAATCACACAAGTGAACAGTTCTTTTTGCTTGTGCTAAATGGCTTCTGTGGTGGTGAATAACAACTAATAATCACCTCTGAGGAGCCTAAGATACAAAATTGCACATTAAGAGTTTAATTTCCGACCATTTCGATACATTGATTTTCTAGTTCTTGTACATACATGTTGGAAACATTCAAAAGGAACATTTAGTGGACTTCTCTTATCTGGAATTCCTGTTATTTAAATATTTTGTAGAATGCTCGATATGCAAATTTCTGGCAGGAGCTTGAAGGAAGTGGCATCCTCAGCATGGAACATATTGATTACGTGTTCTCCAGCTTTATTGGACCAGGAATCATTAGAGAAGACATCCTGGACATGATGGAGCAATTTGGTTTGATCGCTAAGTTCACAGTTTTCCCAAATGAGGAGAAGTACTTTGTACCAGCTCAGTTGAAGTCATCACCTGATGAACTCTGTAAGATGAAACCATCATCAACTGATCCATGTCCATTGTATCTCCTCTTTGTCCATGGCTTTGTCCCTCATGGTCTCTTCTTGCAGCTTGTCTCGCGATCCATTCGTTGGTGTTCAAAGACATGGGCCACACATCAACCTAGCCTGTACCAAAATGGAGCATGGTTCATCATTGGGAAAGATATTCATGATTTTGTCCTCATATGCAAAACAGGATTCCTGAAGGTAATCTTGAGACAAAGAGAAGCACAAAGTCACCAGGTTGTGGGACAGAACTCCATCAAACTAGCACCTCTTGTTCGTGAATTCCTTGAAGACACCCTAAAGAATTTGTCACAAGAAATGCCATATCTGAGGGGACTGCGGTATAGGCTGTGTGTTGCATGTCCTTACTGTCATGAAGGAGCAGAAGAAACAGGTCATGCATGCTCAGACCACATGAAAACCACTTGCACACACAAGGACTGCTTCCACCTCATTGATGCAGATGAAGGTCAACCAGACATCTGCAAGCGAAAACCTTGCAATAAGGTGCAACCAGTGTGTGGATTGAAGAACTGGTTCTTGAAAAGAAGATTCCAGGTATAATTGATTATAGTGATCTTTCAAGCAAAGATTTCTAGCTCGGTTTTATCTTTGCTTTGTTCCTCTAACTTGATGAGAATATCAATTGGGCTGTGATCAGTGTTAAGAAAGGGAGCCTGATAGATTGACTTTATACTTTTTGGAATTTTATACTTTTTTGTTTTCCTTGGTGAAGTATTAATAAAAATTTGTATGCCCACATCCAAAGTCTTTTTATGTAATTATCATACTCTTATATGACCTTTCTTTCTTCAGGGTTTGTTCTCTTCAAATGAAGCTGCTAAATCCCATGATGAAGCAAGTGAAATCAATTCAATGAAGTCTGCCACAGCATTGAAGGTGACTCTCCTTTGCAATGAGTGGAGTTCCTCAATGGGGGGCTTGTCCACCATCAACAGACAGCTTGCCATTCTGTTGGCCAAGCACTCTGAAGTGGACGTTACCCTCCTTGTCCCACAGTTTGCTTGTTCTGAAGAAGAGAGGAGAATGGCTCGAATTCACAATGTATCCCTCAGAGAGGCACAAAAACGTCCAGGTTATGCCGACTCCCTTGACTGGCTGAGTGCCCCACCGAGAGATCTAGACATTGACATAGTACTGGGTCATGGAGCAAAGCTTGGTAAACAAGCTCAATTCTTTAGAGAATCGCACCAGTGCAAGTGGATACAGGTAGTGCACACTGCGCCCGAAGAACTTGCAATGCACAAAAACTATCCCAAGGCTATTTCTAAAGGTGAAGAGAAGAATTTAACTGAAGTGACTTTGTGTAAGTTGGCAGATGCTGTGCTAGCAGTCGGACCAAAGCTAACAGACGCTTTCTCCGCTCAGCTCCGCTCATGCAAAAGTGAAAACGACATCCTTCAACTGACTCCTGGAACTTTCCATGAGTTCTCTGACGTAAAACAAGCCCCAAAGGAGAGTAACAAGTTTAAGGTACTGACGTTTGGCCGTGGTGACCCAGAGGACTTTAGCCTTAAAGGTTACGATATCTCTGCCAGAGCAATAGTTGAACTAAAAGACAGGTCTTACTGTCTCATCTTTGTGGGTGCACCTGACGGTAAACAGGATGAGGTTGCAGTGAATTTGCTGAAGAGTGGAATTGATAAAAACCAGCTGACCGTGAGGAAGTTTGTGCACAGTAAAGAGAGATTGAAAGAATTATTTTGTGAAGTTGATCTCTGCATCATGCCCTCTAGAACAGAGGGTTTTGGTTTGACAGCGTTAGAAGCGTTGTCTGCTGGTCTTCCCATTCTTGTCAGTGGAAACTCTGGATTTGGTGAGGCACTGTGCACTGTACCATCAGGCAAATCATTCATAGTGGAGTCTGAGGACCCAGGGGAGTGGGCAAAGGCAATTGCTGGTGTCCGACAGAAAGAGAGATCAGATCGACTTAAAGATATTCAACAACTGAGGAGTTCATATGAAGGGAAGTTTAGCTGGGAGAAACAGTGTGACAGTCTTGTGGAGAAGATGTGGGACTTAGTCCATGGTGAGATTGTTTTGAATATCCTTCAAAAAGTGTTTTAGGGGGGCTACTCGGCTTTCAGTCTCTTTTTAACTGTGGCGGAAAGCATGAATACCTCATAAAAAAGATCTTAAACATGAATAGTAATCATTCTTTTGATCCTTTTTTTGTTTACTGTGTTATTAAAACAAAAGCTTCTTTCTATCTTTTTAGCTTCTGAAAGACAAGACACAAGTTTCAGAGCTCAGCAGGTGGAAGTTATTAACACGTCAACCGAACAACTAACAGTTGATTCATCATTGACTCCAAGTGAGTAAAAGAATTTAATAACACATGATAATTGATATCCCCAAAGAAGTACAGACAGATTCTAACGAGATCTAGCAATTTTCTTTCCCTAACTCTTTACTTCAGGCCAGCTCAGCTTCGTAAAAACTTAGTAAGGTATTCTTTACCTATGAGACATTTTTTTCATTTATACCCCTGCACTCCTCAGTCACAAACGTAAGACGTATATAAACAAATTGGATTTTTTTTTTACTTTCTGATCCGGACGGACGGCTTAGTTTTATTTGTTTCGTTGAGTCATTTGAAGTTTTCATCCAATTGGAAACTACCATAAATTGTCCGAAACAAGGAGACATGGGGGGTTGTTCTGCTTTTTCTCAAAACAAAACCAAAGTTTAAATACTGTTTCTATCAAAACAAGATTTTGTTCTATTCACGATACAGTTGTCTTTTGAAACAATATTGAAGTAGTCACATATTCATACGGTAGAAAAATAGATCTGTATATTTTTGAAGCCCGCAATTTTTTTTCCAGGATTCCTTTTTCCAGTTACACAGATATGTCAGAGTGTACACCTCGTCGTTTATTTTTCTTCTCTGCTTCTTCTCTCTCGGTTATTAGTGTATTCATTCACGGGTAGATATCGAACTTAAAACAGGACTTAAATGACAGTAAGAGCTTCCTTTTTAAGGTTGAGTTGTTGGACCAAACAGTGGAAGTCGGGTGGTTAAAGCCCTTCGTTTCCTTATTAACCTGAAAGTTTCCCTTAGTAAGTTGAGGATTGTTATTATCCAGCAGACGATTGTTTCGCTTCTTTCAATCATGCAGTTAGATAAATAAGAACTTTGTTTTTTCTAGGTTCTTTTGACCGAATCATCCAGAAGCTTCAGCAGATGCAACTCGATGCGAGCAAAGTCGAGAGCAGAGCAGATCTATCATTGGGGCTGAGGAATATTGCATCAGACAGGGGCTTCAGAATATCTGACAATAAGGGATTAGGAAATTGCATGTTCTACGCCTTGTCCGAACAACTGGCAATTGTTAAGGGAATCAAAATCCTACATGGCGAATTAAGACAAACCTTGGTCCAGTACCTCAGGAATAACCCAAAACTTGTAAGTTGATATTAGTATGTCTAACAGAGTATGTTACGCGATGTTATTTTAAGAGTATGACAAAGGTTTAATGATAATGTAGGCCACTTGGCCAACACAACCAGAACCTATCCCAGTGTTCACAGCGTGAAGTGACCACAAGTACTGTTACTCTTCCTGCGTGGACTGATGGTCTTTTTTTTTCAGGAGTTCCTATACCAGCTTGTACCCTTGGTGGAAAGGGGTACAAGGTACCACTTAATGTGGTGTCTGAAGAAGCAGGCCACCGCAATTTTAGTCATTTGAATTTAATTTAGCTTCAAGAAAGGTCCATTTAAACCTGCATCAGAGAGCAGAATTCTAGTTATTCTTTATATGATGGATCTTTGTTTTCCTGCTGTTTTCAAAGCGTTTTGGAATATACACGGACGTTTTGAAAGACGTTTCAATCAGAAAATTTGTTACTATGCAGTAAATTGCTAATTAAAGGTCGTCTCGTACCATTCTGATAAAATTACTCCCTGACTCGTACTACACGCGCTCAAGTGTCTATCAACAATTCTTTTAAGTTTCCCTCTTTAACTAATTCTTCCTACAGCAGGATGGAACAGATCTGTTTCACTTTGTCCATGGACATCAAACATGGACTGAATACCTAGTACACATGGAACAAGATGGCGCTTGGGGTGATCACGTGATTCTGTGTGCCGCAGCAAACTACTTTGAAACGTGCATTCGTGTGGTCAGCAGTCTATCCCATAGCAATGATGTAATCATTACGCCACATTGTCCAGTTGACGAAAGGAAACCTCTTATGCTGGGACATATTCATGAGGTGCACTATGTCAGCCTTCGACCCGTGCAAGGTACAGCTCATTACATTATTCCAATAAAATGTAATTTCTAAGCTATAGTGATATTTGTTAGTAAGGATCCTTAATCTTCTTTTAAATACCGAGTTGACAACAGTTACCATTTTTGTGGTTCGATTTGCTCATTTAACACGCATCATGAAGTTTGTGGTTTTCATATTTCATGCTTCATCGCTGGCTCCCATCTCAATAATCAAAGCAATTCATGCACTCTATTGTTCTCCCTTTCCGTTTAATCACAGTGTTCTGATTCTCGTGTTTACAGGTTAAAGTGGCAGGCCCTTCCAGTCACTTTGATCGGCCCTTGTGAAGAGCTCGGCCTTGCAGAATGACTTCACAGGCATAGAGACTATTGATGCAAATTGGACAACTAGAGCTTTCTTCAGTCGATTTTCCAATGTAAACTTTAAAATCTTAGATTAAATTAGAGTTTCCAAAAAATGTTTACAACAGAACAAGGACAATAAAAAGACCCTATAATAAAAATTTTATTTCTTATAACAAATGGCTTTGAAATGTAATCGAAATAAGCTTTCAAGGGAGAGATAATACAAATATTAGGAAAAGATAACTCAGTAATATTCTCCAAAGTTGACAAATGTTTGAATAGGTGAAGAATGTGATAGCCAATAAAGAAAGTACTTGCAAACCTAAAAGAACTCCGCCAACGATTTCATTTTGTTTAATACTGTACGATGTGGGGATTCTGATGAAATTTTACAACGCAACAGCAATTCATATCGTTCCCCTGATAGGACTGACTCCGCTGTTTAGATATTATGAGAATCCGTCAGTTATTTGCGGGCGAGGCTCTTCGCACATCTCTCGTCAAAACGAGTAAGGAACTTATCAGGATGCCAGAAGAGTGCATGCAAGCTCCTTAATAATCTTCTGGTATTAATTTTCTGCTTTATTGCGAGTATCACTGCGACCATGTCTTCATAAGTATCATCGCCAGGCAAGAGACGTCATCATATTTTATTGTTAGAGGAGTTGTCTTCGAAAAATCTCTTAATTGGATACGATATTCGAATCTACCTCGCTTAATTAACTGCTACAGCTGGATGTTTTAATTTTGGAAGTACTTCATTCCATTTTTTTGGAAAGAAACGGTGTTTAACCCTTGAACTCCTTGAAGTGATTAACATTTAACTTCTCCCTTTAATATTCATACATTATTCAGCAAACAGGTGATGAGAATATTCAAACTTATCAGGTAGAAGCTGCTACCTTGATCTAGCACGAAATTCTCATAATTAATTAATGAGGACATGTGTAGCAGCTAGAGGGGAGAATTAACAATCAGATCTAGGGAGTGAAAGGGTTAACACCTTGTCCTCACGTAGCGCTTTACCCACAACTATATCATAGTCACAGCTTTTCCGTTCCATGAATAGGAACTTTCTCGCTTCCTCGACGAATTCCTCCAAAATACATCTGTGAAAGGAAAATTATCTGTTTAACCGAAAGCTCGATTTTTCTCGATGTGGCGCACACAAATCCCTACCGCTTTCTTGTTGTGTTTTAAAGGCAAAGAACACCGTTATAAAAAAGAACGTGAAAAAACTTTTTCGCTAGATACACAACCGCTAACTTACTTAACTTAACCTAACCTACGTAACGTGCACAACTGAATATATTTTTACCGCTAGTTACATAACGTTGCGTGATGAAAGTTGATTACACTAAATTCTTCGGAGGTCAACAATACGAAATGAACACTAAATTCGGGTCCTATTTACAATCAACAACATGCATATCTTTGTTTTGTATTCCAAGTAACATAGAATCTTCAAATTCTTGTTTAGCCCAATATCTGAGCTTATTTGAGTTGCTCTCTCAAAAGAGTTGGTCTCGGCGATTGAAAAAAACCTCGCAACGTACCTTCCAGTCATCAGAACTAACTACGGATCTCGCACTCTATTCAACAAGTAAGATTGACTTCAAGTGCTGCACTCTATCTGAAACGGTCAAATCAAATTACAAACGTCTCCACTGTGTGAAACACACTTACCTGCGTTAGACATGATTAACAGCCGATAAGAGAGAGACAAAAGCGGTAGATTTATGAAGACAAGCGAGCAACGGAAATATTACAACCGTTTGATCAACATAACACACCTTGATTCCTTGAGTCCACGACACGCTTAGTTTGTTCTGAGAATTTTTTACATGCAAGCATACCGAGCTCCCGAGTCGAATTTTTCATGAATACGTCGCTTTCCAAAGGTTTTGACAATAGTTTAAGCGCTCTGATGTTTCTCATCGAGATTTATGAAAAAGGTACCGACCTCGCGTTCGAATGTTTATCCAACATCCTGAACCCTTACGCTATCTACCGACCAGATTAAAATTGAATCAGATATTGCTTCGCCTTTGGTATTTATTAGAATTACATACGACTGTATACGCGATAATAGTTATACTGCAGCACGTTGTTCGGGGCATCTCAGCAAGTAAGGGTAATGTAAACAACGACTGTCATCAAAATATCTCCTAAACCACTGCAATTAGTCTTACCTGGAATACAGAGGTAAGGATTCAACCAATCGAATTTCTTGGGAATTAAATTATTTGTAGATAACTGTAGAGCACTTTTACAAACGAGGAATTCAACAAGCCGAGAAGCGAAAGACGAATGACCTTCCAATAAGTAGTCGTGACATTCGCTTGATTAAAATAACACGACCTTGACAGCGGAAATCAAATTCCCTTAATGTCACGCGATTACGTGTTGGGGTCTTTGCCTTACTTTACAGTTGCATTCCTCTGATCCTTATTACTGTTCAGTAGGTAAATTTGATTCC